AATGCTGTTGCTGGATAAAATTTATTTTTTCAAGATTTAAAATATTCTGTTTTTGGCTGTTAGTAGAAGTTAAAATTCAATTTTTAAAGCATAAATGCTATCAATTATACGATATTTTAAAAATTTTCAAACTGCTCGCGTAAATCTGTGTTTGCTTTGTTTGCAAAAATTAAAATAGATAAGAGGTAATTGTTGTGAAGTAAAAGTTTAATCTCGCAATGGCTTTCAAATAACAGATACCAGCATTCATACGGAAGTTTACTTACGATTAGTAGCAATGCTAAGAAACATAAATTAATTAATTAAAACATTACAAAACTTGCTTCTAATCAAAAGGAAACATGATAACTGATTACTCATTTAATTTGTATACATATTGCATGATTAATCAAGAACTTAATATTGAGATGGACTGATACATTCATGAGTTAAGGAATTTAATTGTTGCGCATTACAATTTCGTCCATTATAAAAGGAAGGATGCTTGAAATGTATTTCAATCCGATCATTTATTAGTGTAGCTATTAGAGGTTACTCTAGTTCAATACTGAGAGTTGTTAGTTCGTTGGCAGTTAGTTAATTTGAGATTGCATGTTCAGAGTGTGATGATTTAATTGCTTGAATATAAACACTATTAATAATTTTCTTTCTATTCTGAAATCATAATTAATTCGAGTATGTAATATCTGCTTTAGTTTACTACTGATTGTCATCGTTAGTTTAGTTACTGGGCTTGAATTTGCATTACGATGAAATTTCGTTTTACAAATAGAGTTCTGCATTATTTTGATATCTGTTTCCTGCATAAGTCAACAATTAAAATAAACAGAACACAGCAAGGATTTAAAACATTTGATTTCTTTATTCTGTGATTGATTGTTGTAGGATGTAAAATTTATCGAACGTATCATCAAACTCGGAAATCCTCAGCTTTCATTTTATCTTTAATGCTAGTAAAATTGACCTGGAACTAGAAAAAACCAAACAAATTGTCCACTAGTTGTGAATATGGTCTCTAATATTTATAAGTGGGTTTACGTGGCTTCCTTATTTATGCAGTCTGTTTAAGTAGTTTTAAGTGATTAGTTCTGAAGTATATACATGTATGAGTTAAAGTGATAAGGCTGCAATCATCATTTCTATATATTTGATATGTGCGTTTGCACACATGTGCGTTCTGCATAAATGTATTGCATGTGTTTGCGCGTGCATATTCGCGTGTTTGTGTTTTGTATTCGTGCATGTGTGTGTAAACTGATCGCATAAATTTGACATGAACCAGAGCACTGTATAGAATAGTATATTCATTTTTTAAAAGCAATGAATTAGAAATTTTTTAGTCAAAAGTAGTAAATAGATAGCACGTCTGTTCCACTAAATTTCTGATGATATTCCTCACTAATTCCTGATGTTCAATGCCCTCACTGTTTATAACATGAACTTTTACGAATACAACCACTCATATGCAAATGACTGCAGCAAAAATTTACTGATTTGTTCCATTGCTTTTTTTGTCTCTTCAAAATTATTCCATTTTTGACTTCATCATTAAAAAATGCTGGTGATATTGCTGGAAAATCAAAAAAAATTAAAAACTATTTACAATATAAGTTGCATTTTTTTCTGCAGAACAAAATTTTTACTACACATTAAGTTTCAACCGATTAGGTAACAGAACACAGCTTTTTACAAGATGGATTTTTATTGTTTACACATATATGTAATTTAAAATGCCAATTTCGATTATCAGCAAACAGAGATTTTATTTATGAACAATAAGAGAGATCAAAAACTCGTTATGATATAGTTTTTTGTATTTTATATACAGCATTAGTACGCTGAACTTGTTCACATAAGACAATTTTCTGCAATTTATTGAGATAAATAAATTTCTTAATAGTTCAAATCAAACCATGAACTATTCTGTGTTTTTTTTCTATTATAAGCAGTAATGAATAGATAATGTATCATTAGTTCAAAGTTTAATGAAATGTAGTTTGTGATAACTTTTCACCTTTTATTTATTGTCAAAAAAAGCTTGATAGCAAATTAAAGATGAACAAACACAAACTGGTGCTTATATACTTTTCAATAGAATTTCATGCCAAGTCTTTATTTAAAGTCATTGCTTAAATCAATAACGACGAGTTTTCACTATTAATTTGTTCTCGAAATAAAGCTTACATAGCAAATACAAGCATTTTATTAAATGAAATCAATACGATTTAAATTAAGTGTCGTAAAAGTTTTATAAATACAAAGAGTATTTACATTTTTTCATTCTTCAAGTATTTGCATTTTTCGTTTGGTCATTTTCTACGTTATATTTTTCCAGCGTAATAATGAATATTTGTCAACAAATATTTTTAATATTATTATGTATAGAATGAATAGAAAAAGGAATTCATTCTCATTTTACATTACTGCTATTTAAATAAAGATGCAATATTTTAGTTCTCATTTAAAAATATAAAATAATTAATCTTAGCTGATCAATAAAACAAATTAATGTAAGCAATAAATAAGCAATTAATTGATATGAAGCTTATGAGTAGCAATTAATGTAACATACCATATTCAAAAAAATAGATAAACATCACAAGAATTGATTAAATAATGAATAACGAAAATGATCAATTAGTTGAATAAATGAAATGAAGCAGCAATAAATTGATAAAATATATACGAAATTTATTTAACGTGTAGGACGACATAAGTGTAAAACAAGTTTAAAGCTAAGAAACGTTTGGCTAAATGTAAAAAAAAATCTGCAGTCTTTTCTTTTTTTAACCTTACGTAATCATTTCATCTACTTATTCATCTATCCGCTGACTTATTCATTCATTCATTACTTTCAGCCTTCTGCTCAATGGTTAGATAACTCATTTACGTAAAAATAAGTAATACTAAAAAATGGTCAAATATCATACATACAAACATATCAAAAATCATTATTAAAATATTTATAATTACTTTTTATAATTTAGTGATGCAAACTATATATGTAAACTATATATTTATAATTACTTTTTATAATTTAGTGATGTAAACTATACATATAAATTCAACCTGTAAATATTGTTAATTTTTCCGCAGATACACAAAGCTTTGATCATTAATACTGATGTAATTAGTAAGGCATACCTTATATTTTATAAAGTAATTTTAATTATTAGGAATTAATTAAATGCAATATAAGTCATACTTGTTCTACATTTATAGTATACAGTACGCAAATCCTTTAATGTATTTTTTGTGATATTTGATAAAAAGTATAAAGTATTACTAATCAATAACGAATGTATTATTGCTTATAACACATAAACTCGTTCGATAACGTTTGGTGCAATAATTGACCCAAATAGCTATTTCACTCTCACTAACTGGCATCAAAACTTTTGCGTCCTTCCTTCCTTTACCACTCTGTGCCCTCTCACTGCTTCGAAATGTTTCATTTGTATTCCATTACAAAATTATTTATTTCTATCTTTTTCGACACATTTACTGCTTATCTACTCCATATATATCTATATAACTATTAAAAAATTATTATTATAGTTATTACTATTATTACAATGTGGTAATAAGTGTGTGACAAGTTTAATAACTAGTACATTTACTTAGTTCTTACTAATTGAGCTTGATTTCCTCACATATGAATGAAATATATTCCTTATATTTGCTAATAAACACGATTCAATTATTAGAATTATTGTTGTAAAACTATCACTTACAGTAATTTCAGATATTTAAAGTTGCGTACTTGATCCTAATAAAGTATTGATTGGAGATTATAAGAGTAAGGTGTTTTGGTAAACAAAGAAATATCATTCAAAGTACTAAAATATCATTTTTTTAGAGATAGTACTCAAGCGCTCGTTTGTAATTTAAAAAATGTATTTACTCAAGCAAGGAACTTTTTCTCCGTGTGGTCGTCGATTGTTATCGCTATGTTCGGTTATGTTACGATCAATTCCGAATCGGAAAGAACCACGTGAAGTGACTTATCCAGTTGCAGGCAAGAAACCGAGGTTGGTAAATGATAGCAAAGAAGCTGTTGCCGTTATTCAAAGTGGTCAGTTAATGCCTATTTTTAATTTTAATAGGTTATCGTTAAAAAACAGTACAGCTATAGTTTTAATTCATACAGTTCTGAAATGAATTCTTCCCGTGTAAATATTGTTATCAAGAATTTTTTCATTAATATATATAGCTGGCAGCTGAACCGCTCGGCAACTCAGCAGAGTTAACTAGAGTTGAGTTATATATATATAGTTTTTTAGGATTCAATGTTTTCGTTCATGGTATTGCTGCAACACCAACACCTCTTTTGGAAGGTCTCTGTGAACATGCTAAGGTTAATGATCTCAATAAGATAACTTTACATCATATGCACCTTGAAGGACCCGCTCCTTGGTTAGCTTCAGATGTTAAAGGTTGTTATTTGATTCAGTTCTGTAAAAATCTCCAGATCACATTTTGTTTCTTCCATTATCATTTTTAGTTTTCTGTCCAGGAAACTCATAGGTCGCATCATTTTTCATGTAGTTTCAAGTTGCTAATTACCTCTGTATAAGTAATCAGTCCTTTCGAACAAATTTTGTTGATAAATTAGGTGCCTCAGTTTTAACTTCCCTAAACTGTTTAATTTCAGGACGTATTCGTTCCAATTCGTTGTTTACAGGCCACAACTTGAGACAAGCTGTCAATGACGGTCAGTCAGTTTGAAAGGCATTTGCGATTTACCTTTACTCTTTGGTGTGTAGTATCATTTCTTAAATAATTGTAGGAACAGCTGATTTCAATTCAATTTTCTTGCAAGAAATTCCTTTATTATTTCGATCTGGTCTGATTCATCTGGACGCTGCTTTAGTCACGGTTAGCTTGGAATTAGTACTTTGTTTCTTCGAAAGAGTTCGAAAAAGCAGTTATTATTACATTTAAATAAATTGCACTTTTTCTAGTGAATTTTTAGGTTAGTTGAAACTTAGCTTATCTCGTTTTGGTTTGAAATAAATCGGAGGATTTTACATGTATTTCTCAGGTTTCACCTCCAGACTCTAGTGGTTTTTGCTCTCTAGGAACTGGTGCTGAGGCTGCTCGTGCTGCTGTAACTTTGGCGGATGTCATTATCGGTTAGACCATGTTTATCAGCTGTAAATCCAGCACTATTCTTCCACTGCAATGTTAAATTTCGTTTTTAAATTCTAAGGCTTCTCTGAGTATAGTTGCTACAAAATTCAAATTTTCAGCTGTTTGCAACAAGCATATGCCACGTACGTTTGGTGATACAGTGATCCATCAAAGCCATATTGATTTCATGGTTAAGCATGATTGCCCTCTACATGAACGTTCTCTTCGAAAAGCAACTAAGGAGGAAACTCAAATTGGCAAAATAATTGCAGATGAACTGGTCGCAAATGGAGCTACACTGCAGATGGGTATTCAAAAATAATGAATTTTAGCGTCATATTTACGTCATATTCTTTGGCAAATTTCTGTATATAATTATTTTCAAAGTCCAATGACTTTTTTTGCATTACCATCTCGATCTCTTTATATATCACGAGTTGAAAATTTTCGAGATATTCCTAATGATGTGAAGCTTTATTAGCAAATCATATTTGTTTTTCTGTCACAGACTTCATCTTAACAGAATAGTTTATATGATGGTTAAATTCAGTAAGTTTTATTTCAGGGATTGGTGCTATACCGGACGCAGCTTTAGCTGCACTAGGCAATCACAAGGATCTTGGAATACATACAGAAATGTTTTCAGATGGTATTTTACATCTGGTTGACTGTAATGCTCTAACTAACGCTAAGAAAACCGTTCATCCTGGAAAAGTTGGATTTTTTTAACCTTTAGAGCTTTGAGAATTTCATACAGTATTTTTAGGTGGTACTTTGTCACTCCTCTGCAATATAACTGCTAACAGCCATATTTCCGAATACTTGAAAAGTACCATCAAATATTATAGACTGTGGTTTCATTCGTTTACGGTACTAAAAAGTTGTATTCTTTTCTCCACGATAATCCAGCAATACTTTTCGGTGATGTCGCTTGGGTGAATAATCCTTCGATTGTGAAGACATTGCCAAAAATGACTGCCATAAATTCCGCGGTGGAAGTTGATCTCACAGGACAAGGTTTTTCCCCATTTATACGTGTATTCTGTTTTGGCTAAATTTATGAAAGCTATTTAAGTTCAGAAAGCTAAGGAATGATCTGTTTCATATAATCTAATTTCTGAAAACAAAACGTATCACAGTTTTTTTAATCGTGCTTCTAGTTGTCGCGGATTCTGTGGGTACTCGGTTTCTTTCGGGTGTTGGTGGACAAGTAGATTTTATTCGTGGTTCAGCTATCGGTTTGGATGGTCTTGGGAAACCTATTATCGCATTGCTGTCAACAACCAAAAAGGGCGAATCAAAAATTGTTCCGTTTATCACTCAGGTACCTACCTGCTCTGTCATGTGCTTGATTTGGACAGATTTAATTTAAAAAATTTTTAGACTCTCAGTAATTTACCGATTCAAATTTATTCAAAAACTCAAGCAATTAGTCTATAGGGATCTGGTGTGGTAACGTCACGTGCTCATGCACATTACGTTGTGACAGAATACGGAATTGCTGAGCTTTGGGGTCGAAATGTCCGACAACGAGCTTATCAGTTAATCAGCATTGCTCATCCAGCTCACAGAGAAAATTTGGAAAAAGTTGCGTTTGAAAGGCTAAAAGTGATGCCTTCAATGGATTAGATGTTTTAGCGAACAAAATTTTAATATTACTCATTTTCTGATTGTCTTATTTTTTCCAATCACTGAGTTTTACTTACTTCTGTGCAGTAATCCTTTTCAAGCTGATTAATTAGAGAAATTTTTTTTTCTTGTTTTTCATGAGATTAAAAATTTTAATTTTATGAAAAACATTTAAAAAATTTAGCATTAAAAAAATCGTGATGAAATTAACTGAAAATTTTCAATTTTCCAAAATATGGTTTCACAGTTATATTCTTTTCATGAATAGGAAATGAAGGAAGGTGGCATTTTCAATATTGTTCTTCACTTCACTAGTTTTGTGATTTGGTGTTGTATTTTTTACTAAATTTCATACCGGTTGAATGATATCATTCGAACTAATAAATAAAGCAATAATTTTAAATGTTTTTGATTATTAAATTAGTGTTACTTAATAAAAAGAGGAGTTGTGCTGATCTCCACTGCTTCGTGCACACTACAAAAAAAATCTTTAAAATATATCCTTAAATAGCACAGTTGCATTAAACATAACTAAACAATTAATATTTGGGAACCGAGGTTAGTGAGTATTTTTTCTATCTCTCTCCAATAACATAATATTTGATTGTTTATTATGTGAAGTTATTTTGAACCTGATAAGAAGACGTAATATTTTGTAAGATTGCGATGGAAATTCTGCATAAATTTTTTCGTTCTGAGAGTAGTCATTAATAGCAGATGTATGAGTAATTTATAATTAGTAGACATTGCTGTGCAACGTTGAGAATAAATAACAACTAACAATCAGTTAAGGTTGATTGTGCTATCCGGTTTCTCAAAAAATATAAATGATTTCAACAAGACAAAATATTTTAGCAAAAATTCTATTTGTTCATGTCTTGGATTGTTTTTTTCTAGTTGCATTACTCATCTTACAATTCTCGCTCAATTCTTTAAATTAGTAAGTAACGTGAGTGTGCCTCAAAAAATGCTGCGCAGTTGTTTCATAAATATAAATGTGATGTAAATGGTCACACATCTGTTAACTAAGCAAAATTGCTGATTCTTGCAAATGTGATATAAATTATTATTTAGTTCAGATCACAAAGTGAACAAAATAAATTATACAGAATAATAAAGGTAAAAAATTATACTGATACCTGAGCATACTCTTCTACATTACTTTTGTACTGAACATTGAAAAGTTGTCAAAGCAATTATTACCGAAATTTAAAGTTCATCAAATCTACTTCAATTGCTTTTTTAAAATACAAGGCTCAAATCCTAACTTTCATATGCTCAAAGACCCAATTTTTATACTACTTTGCAGCCAGCGAAACATGATTAATTATAGTACAGCATTAATTTTCAGCAAAATGTTGAAACAAAAAATTGCAGGGCATTTGTGCATGCGTTTTGTGTGTGTACGTGTGTGCTTTATCGAAATCATTTAGTCAATTAAATGTAACAAACAAACACAGCTCAAATTATTCCATAAATAATTGCTTTGATTATTTCTCAAAAAATTTGCATATCCTCTTCAACTTTTACTATAATTGGACTTTTTTGCTTATAGAACGCTTATGAATTTATGCCACAAATCTTACAAAATAGTTATTCAAAGCTCTGTATCAGATACAGGCCGAATGAAGTTATGTTATTCACAAAATAACTTTTTTTGCAAAAACAAAACACATTACAGCAGAACGCTGCAATATTTTGACTGACAATAATTGAAAGCTAAAAAACAAAAGTCACAAATCCATTGATGCAATATCTTAAACATTCAATGTAAAAGTTAAACTTTACATTCAAGAAATTGCATTTAATAATGAAGCAGGCTTGAAACTTTTTAAAATGCCTTTCCTAAGGGACGTTCAGCTGGTAAGAGCACCTTGTTAGATTTTTCTAAGATAGGGCACGCTGGAAACAAATGATAAAGAAAAGCTTATGGATCGAGATTCAGGATGAGATAACTGATTATGAAGTTATGTCACCTACTGGCAATGCTTTTATTTTTTTTAAATGTTTTGGAATTCAACGTTTCAATATTAATTTGCTTGAATTCTATCGAACGATTTCACCGTTAAATTATGGAAGTTTGAATAGTTGCGATGCCTGTTCTAGAACTATTTTTACTTGGATGCGATTATGAAAAGGATTCGCTTCGAAAATAAAAAGAAAACAAAAAATAGCCTGTAATGGAATGGAAGCAAGAGGTTCTCGCCTTCTTTTTCAAGCAAAAAGGAAGCATTCACAGGTATAGAAAACGCTCAGATTCTGAAGAAAGTTGGGATTTGAACAAGTTATTTTGATTTGAATAAGTGTTTTAACTTAATGATGAACAATGTCACGTAAAATTTGTATGATTGAAAATTTTTTGTAGTATATTGTTAAGAACAAATATTCAAATTTTCGCTGATTTTTCGAATATTTCGTAGTTAGAATCTTGAAATAAGTTTCTTATTAATTAAGATACGTTTATATCTGAAACGACTAGATTTCGCTACCATAGAATTAAAATAAACTGAAAAAAGGCTTCTTGCGCCTTTGCTTAGAATTTAGTTCATTGGATGTGAATCACCTCGAGTACATGAAAGGTGATTAAGTTTTTTATGATTGCTGTTTCTGTTCTATGTTTTCAAAAGTGTGATGCTTGAAGAATAAATGTAACATTAACTTTAAAAAAAATAGAGACTCTTTTGAGAAAACAATGTATTTTATTAAGCTGCTTGTCTTAAATTTATTTAATTTTGTTACTAAAAAAGGAAAAAAGTACTAATTGATCAAATGCTGTTTTTTTGAAAGCAGCAATTTAATATTGGACTTATTTTTCAAGCGATGGATTTCTTGTGATGTTTTATTGGTATTTGTAAATGATACTATTGTAGAATGAAAATTTATCACTGACAACTTTGTCTAAAAGTGATAACTTTTTAAAGCAGGCTTGTATTAAAGTAAGGATCTAGTTTTTAGAATGATCTTATTCTTGTTCATAAAGAACGCTTACTTTGTGAGGGAATATGTCAAGTTTCTTTGAAGAATGCTGTGTCACTTTCACTTTCCACATAAAAGCGAGTGCTAGAGAAAATCTTATGGGTCGGAAAGTTGATTCAG